ATCACAGTAGAATGAGTCTTTGACATCCAACCTTCCAACTCTCATAGACTAATAGGCATGGGAGAGGACAAGAGAATGTACTCAGGAATGAGTGAGGCAGCTGTTGAGAAGCCAGGGAAAACGTGATTTCCTAGTTTGTGGTTCATACTACATGGGCACTCAAAATGGAGTTGAAATGAAATGGCTTCTGAGGTTTCACATCATTAGTTATTTGTGAATGAGAAACATCCATGAGCACCTGTATCTATTAAAAGCATATATGAACATGTATGTATGTTTATATAAAATTAAATCCAAGAATGCACTACACTTTGAATAATAGTAACAATGGCACACAGAAATGGTAAAATCCCCAAGCTGCATCATATATGATCGTGCCTGAAAAACAGTGGGAAATGGGATCATGGCTAAGCACGCACCTCTAGTCAAATCCTGGCTGTACTAGAGTCCCTCCTGCTGAAACTCTGAGGCTTCCTCATCCCTTACCTTTGAAATGGGAACAGTGATCTCAAAGACCTGAAGCTGGCTCTGAGGACAGGCCAAATCCCACATATGCAGAGAACACTCAAAACGATTCCACTCTCCTCATCTCCTATGTCAATGTTTGCTTCCTCATGGTCCCTTCACTTTCCTGTACCTGAGATGGTCACCACCTTAGGATTAAGCTCTAGCTGATAGGCCTAAGCTCTAGCTGGTAAAGTCTTATCTCAAGCTAGACTTCGGTACAATCCTGAGACTTCGGCAGTTGGAGACATACAACCTAGTTCCATGAGGCCCAGCCACAAAGCTCTAAGGTCAGACGTGAAGTTGACTCTTCATGCTGTGCCCTCCTCACATCCCCTCAGGTATTAAGGATGGGACCCGCAGGCTCATGCATGCTAAGGAAATGCTCCACACCACTGAGCTGCATCTCCAGCCCAGCCCTCACTCTGCTCCTCATTAGCTAGGTGGCCCTGGGCACAGGATTTAACATCTCTCAAGTACAGGTTTCTCTCCTATAAAACGAGGTTATAATAACCCATATCACAGATTTAAGATGAGTGTGAAAGGCCTAACTAGCAAATGGTAAATGTTTAGTGAATGGTTCAGCAACTGTTTTGTTATTTTGGCCCTTACACTAAATGCATACTGTCATGAACTGAGATGCCTGACTAAATTCTGAGTAGCAGTTCCCATTAGTTCCCACTCTAGAGTATATAGCAGGGGAGAAAATGAGCCCTGAAGTCAGTGTGACCCCAAAGTTTGCACTAATGTCAACCCCAACAATTTGCTTCACATCTGTTAAGCTCTTTATTTGTCAAGCATCAGTTGAGACTCATATTGTTCATGAGAGGAAATTAACAATTATCCACTTTTCACAGACAGAAAGAAATAGAGATCCAAAGAGGGAAGTGATTTGTCTAAGGTCTCATGGAACTTGATGGCAACACTGGATCTAACACCTATCTGTAGTTTAAAATTCGGCCTGCTTGTTTTCATTTTCACAATAGCCCCATGAAGTAGGGATTACTGGTCCCACCTTACATATGGGACAACTGACAAATCAGGCAAGCAGAACACACTAGAGATGGAAGACAAGTTGACGGCCTCTGTTTTCACACTGTAGGGACAGTTTCCTGATGTGGTTCTGTGTCCTTGGGATACTGCAGAGGGATCACAGCTGAGGCCCACAATGACTGAAGCACAAGAAAGCACTTTTGATCAGACAGCATGAGTGGAACAGAACAGGAAACAGCACCCCTTCCCCCGGAAGCCAGCTGAGTCTGTTGAATAAGAGGTGAGGGAAAGAGACACAGTGTACCCTGCTTTACAAGGATGCACACATATGTTCTGGGGAAAAGGCAAAGGGTTGGCTTAGTTACTGCCAATGATCCCAAACAGTCAGACTCAGACATACACACACACTTTTAAGCAACTCAAAACATCAGGTAGATGCCTCACACTATAGACACAAACTAACTGAAAAATGGATCAAGGAACTAAATGCTTATAAGAACCAAAACCACAAAACTAAGAAAACACAGGTGTAATTTTTGTGGCCTTAGATTTAGCCAATGGTTTCTTAAACATGACAGAGTAGCAGAAGGAAAAAAAATAGGTAAGAAGAACTTCATCAACATTCAAAAATGTTACATATCAAAAAAAAAAACAAAAAAAGACCCATTGTAGAAAACTTTTTTTGCAAATTATATCTGATAGCTCAGTGGTACACTGTATGTAAGTTTAACATGTGTGAGGCTCTGGGTTCAACCTCTAAAATAAATTCCACAACTTAGAAATAGACAAAGCATCTCGGTTGATGTTATTGCAACAAATATGCCAGTGGCCAGTAAAAAACATATTCAACCTCAACAGCCATCAGAGAAATGTAAATTAAAAACAAACAAAAAGACAATCAGTAGCAAATGTTGAGGATATGGAGAAATTAGAACCCTCAGACACTATTGGTGAGAATGTAAAATGGTGTAGCCACTTGGGAAAACAGCCTGGCAGCTCCTTAAAATGTTAATGTCACCCTCGTGGCTCAGCAATTCCACTCCTAAATAAAAACCTAAATATATGTCCACTCTAAAACTTGTACGTGAGCGTGCAGAAGAGCATTATCTTTCATAACTTCCAAAGTGGAGCCCAGATGCCCATCAACGCATGAAGACAATGTAGTTGACCCATATGATGGAGTGCTATTCAGCTATAAAAAGTCCTGTGTGTGGAACAAGGATGAACCTTGAAAACATGCTAAGTGAAAGGAACCAGTCACAAAAGACAAGATTCTATTTATAGGAAATGCTCAAAATAGGTATATCTAATATGTGTCATAGTAACCTACGAGAGGAAGAGGTTTGCCTAAAGAGAGGGGAAGGGGAGCTAGTGCTGCTAATAGGTAAAGGGTTGCATTGGAGGGGTAAAGAAAATGCTTTAAAACTTGTGAGGCTGACTGTACAACTCTGAATACATGAAAACCTACTGAACTGTAGGCTTTAAATGAGTGACTTATAAGGTATGTAAAGTATGTCTTATATCTTAATAAGGTTAATATATATATAAGATATATACTATACAAGATACATACATATATACATATACATGTGTATATACAGAGAGAGAGAGAGAGAGAGAGAGAGAGAGAGAGAGAGAGAG